TCCTACCTCAAGTTCTAGATAGTGCTCGGCTTCAGTAACCACAATCAAATCGATTTCATGTTAATATGTTAATATTGTGACTCACTGCAAATAATACTCAGTTTGGCTTTGGAATGGAAGTACTATGTGAATTTGGTAAATAAAGGTAGCTGCTGGGTGTTATTATGGTCTCCTTTACTGGGAGGTAAGAGCCTCTCCCTTTGGAACAAGAGTGATGAGATATAAAAATGATGATATAATTCTAATCTATTTTATTCATTTCAGTAAATATCTTTTTCCCGTTTGTTCAAGTTTGTCCTGTCAGGTCAGCAGGGCCACAGTGCGTATTACCAAGTGATACGCATGCACGTGCACCACAAGCTTACACAGTTAAAATGAGGGTGGGAAGATGTACTTCCTTGGTGTGCTACTTTTCACATGAGTTTTTGGCATGGCAAAGTTTAGGGTTGTTTTTTTTCCCATCAAGATCTGTTGGTTCTACATGTGATCAAGTATTACGCAGTGAATACATAACCCAGTTAATACATGATCAGTGAATACGACTGATATTCAAAGGAAAAAAAAACACCTACTTGGCACTCTCCTCCAGAAGTAAGCAAGCCACGTCTTTCAACAATGAGCGCTTGTTCACTTATGATTATAAACAGCCGTGTTGATGCATGCCAGGCAGAGCATTTCAACTTAAGCTCCTGGGTGGGTCAGCAAGTCTGGGGTATGTTTTTCAAGTCTGTATGTATCTAAGGCTTAAACGTAGCAATGTAGCGAGCTGTTCTACGTGATTCTTCCTTTCTTGCTGTCAAACAAAACTGACTTGGTCTTGGTATTGATTGCACACCTAATGCATACCACATGCAAGGGGTGGTCCATGAGTATCAGCGCACTGACTGCTGACCGAGCTCGGCCAGCAGAAAATGCCCTGAGCCTCATCCCTCTGCAGCTCTCCCTTACTCCCCTCTTTCTGCTTTGCTCAGCTGAGAAGTCTCTCCTGGAGTTAGGGCTGGCATAAGCTCTTCCTCATCAAGCACGGTAAGCAGGACGCAGCCACCTTTCAGCCAGAGCAGGCATTTAGAGCAAGAAAAACAGCAGTTGGTAGCCCGAGCTCAGCTGTGGCTCTCACCCGTCCCACCCAGGCTCAGAGGTGTCCAGGCGGCTTTGTACGGAAGGAAGGAAAACCTGAAACTCAAGGAAAAGCCTCACCCCCTCCCTCTCCCTGCTGGCTGCCCAGGCGCACACCTGCACCTCCTGCTCCCCGCTCAACCTGCTGAGGGGCCGTAAGGAAGAGAGGGAGCCCCGTAAGGAAGAGAGGGAGCCCCGTAAGGAAGTCTCGGGCGCTGGAGGTGACGGCGCTAGCGTTACAGCACTTGGTCAGGACACCTGTTACACGCTCAGGCTGGACAAGGGCTCATGACAAACGACATACACGGGCTTGCTGGTGGAGGCGGGTAATCGCCAAGGGGAGAGACGAATTCTCTGCTTTTCCCACCGCCCTTCAGAGGGGATGCACGGCCGAAGGCGGGCACTCCGCTCACAACTCCGCAGCGGGATCAGTTTCTGTGGTTTCGGTACATGGTCAAACTTGGTAACTTAACAGTCTCTTCCAAACAAAAAAAAGAAATCGTCGCTCTAACCGGCGCTCAGGCCACGCACAGACATCAGGGT